GTATATTTCCAATGTTGGGACAAATGGTACGTTTGGTTGAACAACAGACGCCCAAAAAGTCAAGTATAACCAGGATTATGTTTAATATATGTTAAATCTGACTGAAGTCTACATACCGTAGAAAGTGTAAATATCATGTAAAGTTCCTGTCGCGATCATTTGTTTGACTATTTCTTTTTTTTGATGTATTGTTTTAAATAAATAAAAAATTTAAAAAAAATAATAGTTAAGGCAAATGATGTAGCAATTCCAATGGTCAGGAAATTAATTCTTATTTTAATTTCTAGTTCAACTGTTTTGAAACTCATTAATCAGCAACAATGTTGGTCAAGTTATTAATTAGCACATAGTCATGTCAATTGCTCAAAATTCACAAATCGATTACAAACATATATTCCTACATTTGTCAAAGAGTAATCATACTCCAATTCTTCTTTACTAAGTGCTGTCTAAACCTTTCAGTGAAACCTAAAAAGAGTCAGAGTTATATAGATGGTGAATCTCTGAGACCTGACTCGCATTGTATAGGATGCAAGACCTTTCTTGTAAGAACTGGGACATTTTAGAATATCCAATTAGGTTAAATAGTACAATAAAACAAGATTATATATAACCTATTATATATAGGTTAAAGAATAGTAAAAAAGAATATACGTTTATTAAAAAGTAGATAAACAAAGCTAAAAAGTGGGATGTTTGGAAGGGGAGTAAAACAAAACCTTTTTAATGGAAAAACTTTTTAAAATAAAGAATAATGATCAGAAACCATGTTATACTTGTGGTAGAAATAACTGTAAATGCAAAGGAGTTATACCACAAGCCGAACTCATTTGAATAAAATGAATATTTTCAGAAGAACTATGCTGCTTATTTCCAGAAACAATTTTCATAATATGAGAAAAAAAATTCAGTGTGAATTGCTATAAAATACTGTAAGGAAAGAGTTCTTAAGTTAGTATTCCAGAGTTGGCCCAGTCTTTTTTGACAATAGCATATTCTTTTCTGCCTCACAGGTTCCCTTTGCATCAATGCCTCTTCTCAGCTGTAGGCAGTGATCACTGACAATTTTCATTCAGGGAAGTTCTCCCTCTCCCTCTCTCTCTCTCTCCTTCTCTCTCTCCCTGTATCTCTGGCTTTGAAAATGAATGGCTGTATTTTACATATCATTCTAACCCATGGTTTGTTTATACCAGTGGTAGCGAACCTATGGCACGCATGCCAGAGGTGACACACAGAGCCCTCTCTGTGGGCATGTGCGCTATCGTCCCAGCTCTATTTTGGGTCTGCCGCGCATGCGCACACATCTCCCATTAACCAGCTGGTCTTTGGGTCTCTGCTGTGCATGTGCGGGTCACGCATGCATGCACCCACGCCTTGCTGTTTGAGTGGGGTGCAGGCACTTTGGGCACTTGGTGTCTAAAAGGTTCACCATCACTGGTTTATGCAATGGTGGATTATCATGATGTGTGATAGTAGCTGTTACGTTTGTAAACTGTGATTTATAATTCTAAAATTAAATTCAATACACCTGATTAAAAGTCAATTGAAATAGAGTCTTGTAAACTTGTAATATATGCTGTTCATACTGATTCCTTCTCTCATTCTCTTCAGCTGCTTTGCTAGCAGAATAGTGCTATCTAACTCTAGCTGGCATCTCACTGCTAATGTATCCCATAAGACTTTAGAGTTTGGTAATGGACCTTGGCATTCAATATTTGTTAAGCTTAAACCATTACACAATTACCTGTACACCACGAGATTTGAATGACATCTTAATAGTTTTAACTCACTGTATAAAAGACAGTGAATTATCTGAAAGGATAGTTCATGTATGCAGTAACTTAATTCCAAATATTTGAATCCACATAAATGGCAAAATATTGTAACTTAAATTGGACATAAATATGAATGTTGCTGTACACAGTGGTTGGTTACACATTGACTTTATTGTGTAGAATTGTTTGTGGTGTGGATTGTGTTTATCAGCTAGAATTTCTGAACATATGATAGTACATAGAGATTCATAATGTTGTGCAGGGAATCCATGTAACAAGCTGCCTTATGCAAGTGTCATATGAGCAAGAATTTATATGCTTACTGCATGAAATCTATTTCAATCTGCATTTATTAACTGGTTATAATGTATAAATTAGAATTAAATCTTTCTAATTGAGATAATCTATTTTGAATAATATCACATTTTTTTGTGTTTAGGCCCTTAAGATAGCCCTCAAACATTCTTAAAAGTTTGAATAATATAAAATCCATCCTTTGAATTTATGCTTGTTATAGACTAGTGTCCATATACTCCAAAACATTAATTTATTTAAATTGAATCTTATAATGATTCAAGTCTTGTGATATTTTGATGTATCTTAAGCATATTTTAAATACCTAGGCAAAAATCCCTCTATGTCTATCTCACAATACTTAGGTAGTAGCTGCTAGGGTTTCTCTTCAGATTGTATAAACCATCTTTTTTTGTTCCTTAAACTTTATTTTTAAATTGTCAGTTCATTCAATTATACTTGAAGGCTTTCAATTTTCTCTTAAGATTGCTTTGAGTATCATTTAAAGCCTGTTAACTTCTAGTGGAAATAAAATGCCAATTTGCTATCTTTACAATCTTGCCCATTTTATCGTCTAGTCACTGTTATTAGAAACTACTAACAATTTTTGAGACAAAGTAAGACATATGGAAATATTCTATTTTGATTTCTGTTCATTTAAAATGCATTTCTGGTACAACCGTCAAATGCCGCATAAACTATTTGTTTCTCAGTAACTAATCATTGGAATAAGTGATATCTTTCATTGGATTCAATGGACTTTATTTTTGAGTAAATCTGAAATCGGGATCAGCCTGAGCAGCAGATTAGCAACTGGATATTAACATCTGAAAATAGAAATACATTTTAGGGCAGTCTTGTCCGACTTTTCCCCCCAGTTTTTGGTACAATATTGATTCCTGATATTAGGAATAATATCAGGAATAGTTAACTGCAGAGGAATAATAAACAGGCAATTGAGTCCCATTCCATTTCTAGAAGAAATGTTTGTAGAAATGCCAATCAAACTTGTTCTTTGAGATGCACTATGGATTTCTTACAGCTCCACAGAAGGTGTTGAAATTAATTTCTCATAATCTAACTGTCAAGTGAGGGGACTATATATGCTTTGACTTCTTTTGTAAGTGTTTAAGGAACCACTTCATTTAATCTACTGGAACAAAATACAGTTTAAAAAAGATAAGTGCAGGTATTGTGAAGCCTGCCAGTTTAAGATCTATGGAGATTCTCTGTCATCCAGGTCATGGTTGTCCCCAAAGTGCTTTTTTTTCAAGAGGTAATTGGACTTTCTGGTTTTTCTTTGAAGACGTTTCGCTTCTCATTCAAGAAGCTTCTTCAGCTCTGACTGGATGGTCCCTTTCCCATCATCCAGTCAGAGCTGGAGAAGCTTCTTGGATGAGAAGCGAAACATCTTCAAAAAAAAAAAAACCAGAAAGTCCAATTGCCTCTTGAAAAAAAAGCACCTTTGGGCTCCCAGTTTAACAAACCGCCATCCTATATAAAGTAAAATGTATTTACAAAATCTGTCTACTCTGAAGTAGAAAAACAGCAAAACTTCTTAAATACGGTACATCTGACAAATTGTACCCAAAAATGTCGTCAGATTTCATTTTCCTATTAAGAAAACGTCCCGCAGCGAGGGGGCAAGCGGGTAATAATTCTTCCTAGTCATCTTTAAAGCTTTTACTGGGGGGTGGGGGGATTAAAAAAACACAATTTTTTGTTGCTTTTGCTGCTGCCTTTTAACCCAGGCGCCGGATTTGTCAAGCCTGTTCTTCGCTCCTGATTTTGACAGATGTAAAAAAAAAAAAAAAAAACCAACCCTCGGTGACTTTAGCAAGCAAGCAGGAGCCTAACTTTTTTCTTATTGGCGGATCGATGCGAAGCGATTTAAATATTAAATGAGACCTTTTAAGGCAAGATCGTCGATGACATTAGTGGAAGGAAGGTGTCCGCGAGTGCGTGGGGGGGGGGGGGGGGCGGGGGGGGGGGCGGGAGATGAGTTGCATAGATGAGGTTAGTTTCCTGCTTGTTTCCTATTCAGCCTCCGTTCCTGTGCTTGACGTGAAAACTTTTAAGGTGGGAGGGAGGCGTCTTGCGTTAAGGTAGCCCTGAAAACGAACCAAGACTATTCGCGCAACCAAGGGCGTGGGTTCAATGTGTGTGTCAAGAGTAGATTTAAAAAAAAAAAAAAATGGGAGCGACTTCTTCGTAAAACGAAACCATCGGACGTTGCGAGGAGGGGCGATCGCCGCCCGGACTTCCTGGGCTGCGGGGTGGAGGGGTGGGTGGGTGGAGGAAGCCCGAGGTGGTTCCTCTCTTGTCCCTTTAAGACCCTGTCGCTGCGAAAGGAAAGGAAAGAGGCGGGCGCAGTTGTGATGCTCCCGGACTTTGCGAGACGCCTAAAATAAACAACTTCCTTTCGCTGTGGAGTTTCGCGACTTCGGGGCTGCGCGAAGTGCGATGTGGGAGAGGGCGAAGAGAGACGCTTGAGTTGGGCTGTTGGCTCCCGGATGGCCGTCTGGGGACGCCTCCGCCTTGAATTTGGACGGCGGCTTCCCGACAAGCACTTTTCCTGGGGGGCTGCCGAGTCGGGATCTCCGATGCCGACGGCCGCCTTAGCGTCGATCGCCTTGCCTCCCTTTCTTTAGCGCGCCGCGGGGAGGAGGAGAAAGGAAAAGAAAAGAAAAAAAAATGCTGGTGCCCTTCCCGAGCTGAGAAGCCAAGCCGGGGGCCGACAGTTCATCCGGCTTGTCGGAGAGATTAATGGGAAACAAAGGCGATGCGAGGCCTCGCGTTGTTATTCCCGGCGCGGTGCCCGTAGCGGCAGCCCCAGATTCGGAGCTCGGCGAGCGGGCGATTCTTTGGGAACTTCCTTAAGCGGCGGTGCCACCTTAAAGAAGCCTGATGACTTTTCTCGTTACATTGTAGCAGCGGAAAGAATGTCGGCGCGGGCCGTGGCTGACGTCAGAGGGGAGCAACGCAGAGCGGCGGTGGCGGCGGCGGCGGCCAGCAGGCAGCAGCGGCGGCCCCGGCACGGAGGAGGCAGCGGCGAGAGCGGCCTCGGCCCCGCCACCACCACCACCATCATCCCCGCCAGTACAGCCACCGCCACCAGCGCAGCAATGGCGACCGTCGGGGAGCGCAGGTCCTTACCTAGCCCGGAGGCAATGCTGGGGCAGCCCTGGAGCCATTGGGTCGATGCTGCTAAACTTCACGGGAACGATGGTGAGCAAGCGAGCGAGCGGGAGTCCCTTCTTTCGTGGGGGAGGGGAGAGGGGAGGGGTCCGGCTGGCAGCGAAAGGGTTAATACAGCTGGTTGCCTAACGCTCTTCTGCCGGAATTGTCTGATAATCTGTCCCAGAGTAAGAGGTGGGGTGGGGGACCCCCCCCCGAGGAAGGCAGGGAGGGAGAGTTAGCCAAGAAGATCCTGTTTATGTCTCTTACTCCACCACGCACTACCCTGTCTCTAGGTTTATACATAGGTAGGTCACTCGGGGAAATCTTGCCCAGGCAGGTGGCAGTGCCTAGCTGACCTTGGGTGATCGTAAAATTATAAAACAAAAAAAGTGTGCTTGATTGATCACCTCAGGGATGGGAGACCACCAGGAAATCCCAGAGCTCTCGGGTAGTTTGGGATTCATGTATTTATTTTGAAAAAGTCCTGGAAGAAGACAATGGTAATTCATCTTCACGTTCCTGCCAGGAAAACAGCATGGAGGGATTTATTTATTTTTTTGTATGAAAGCAACAGGAGTTCAGCTTCACTGGAGGAAGATTTTATATTTAAATATAAGGGCATTTTCTGTTCTTGAGGTGTTCACTTAAAAAGAAAATGATAACGCTAGATCTCAGGTAAGTCCCGCAACTCATTTATCATGGCAAGCAGGAGAGCAATTGTCTGTTTCTTGGTGTTTTTATTTCTGTTATGATGACATCCCATAATGCAAGTTTGTTTCCAGTGGATTTTGGAAGTCTATTGTACTCTTTCTTCAAATCATACGAAGTAGAAGACTTATAACTGTTCCTGTCCTCTGTTTAGAAATCAGTGTAATGAGACTCCAAGAGTATTTAATATAACATTAGCGAACATGATTTTATTTAGTCATAAGAGTTATAGCCCATCACCGTTCTGCAGGACTCTCAGTGGTTTTATAGAAATATACAACCAAAGATATCCACGGTCAGTATTAAAACAGTAAAATCTTTAAAACAAAATATCCGAATAACAGATATTTTCAACTGCTTCTGATGGCAGTTAAAAGTTGGAGCTGAGCTAAACTTAAACTCTAGTGGGAGGCCTTCCAGACCCCTGAGCTTCCCCTTCCCCCATAGTCTTCTGAAAGTGGGAAATCATTAGCTGCTTCTGGGTGAGATAAAATTGGTCAGCCTGATCCTAATGAGTGAAACACATTCCTGAAAATAATGTGATATGAAATATAAAGAGCTTTATAGGATACAACTATCCCTTTAAATCTGGTTATTTTTATTTATTTAAATTTGTTATAGCCCTCATACAAAACCAAAAATATCCATGAAAACAGAAAAGACATAAAACCACGCACAGAAAGCCCAGCCTAAAAGAATCTTAAAAGCAATACAAATCAAATAAAACGGGGCTCCCCAGAATACAGTAATATTATAATGTATATTACATACATTCAACCAAAGCCAGGTTTCAAGTGATTTCCAGAACCGTAGGAGAGAGGATGCTGCCCTTCTTTCTGAGGAAATGCTTCTCCAGAGGTTGGGAATCATGACCAAGAAGACACATTTCCTTGATCTCACAATATGACAACAATTAATAATAGTTTAAGGCAACCAAATGCCAATAGGAAGCCAGGACAGGATCCAAAGCTGTTTGTACTTCTCCTGGAAAGTGCCAAATAGTACCCAACCTGCTACATTTTGGAGAAAATGAAACATCTGAGTGGTCTTAAAGGCAGTCCCAAGTAGAGTGCTTTGTGGTAATCTAAGTAGTAATGAGGCCCTATGTTACTGTAGCAAGATGTCTTGCCTCAGTTGCCACACAAGTCAAAGCTGAGCAAAAACTGCCCCAGTCATAGCCTCCAGCTGCTGTTCAAATAAGAGTCTTGAGTCCAGGAGGACCCCAATTCCACAGGCCTTCTCTTTCAGGACTTAGTGCTTCCATATCTAGATACGTCACTGGAGTAGCCAGAGAACAGAATGGCCTTCAGTCACCAAAATAAGACATCAAGAGCAGAGCGTGGCCCAGGATAAGTTTACTGATGGCACTGGACCACCAAATGATTCTCCCACTTTCATGTTAAATTTGCTATGCTTAACATTATGCTAACTGTGGGTTATTTGGTATCAACAAGCTTAGTCCTTTGGGTTTACACAGTCCTCCTGTTTTTACTTTTGTTAACTTTGCCACATTCAGTGAAGCAACAAACTAATTAACAACACCCAAGTTAAATTTAAAATAAATCAAAGTGATTTCTAGGTAAGCTTATTAACGTTAACTTATAGTTCCTGGTTCAGAACTACAACTAAAAGTGGAAGCAAAAGTGTCCTACCTGTTCCTTAGCTACAAGGGAGAAGGAGATGAGACAAGATAATGTAAATATGGGCAGGAAGGTTAATGTGCTCCTATAAATCATTCTTATGATAGAAATGATATTCTGGATATGTTTTATTCTGGATATGCTTGTGAATACAAGTTAAAATATAGAAAGTATTAATACATCCAAATACTGAATAAGCTACTTTTTCAGACTTAGAAATTTATCAAAACTATCAGACCACCTGGAGTAAAGAAAGTTGTGATGTAATACATAATATCTATCACATGCATCTTTGAGCAGCGAATATAAGAGGAAGAAATATAAGGCAGTTTGCCATACAACAAAAATGCAACTACAACCTGCAAAACTTTATTTGGAAGAGAATTAAGAAACTAAAACTTTTCTTCTCAAACCTGCATAAAACATGCAACATTTCAAATTGGCCATATTATCTTGTATACTCTGGCACCAAAGAGGTATGTCTTACCTCTTGAGCTTGTGAAATCAAGGCCTCTTGCTAGGTTGAAAGTACTGCTAAAATAGACAATATATTTAGGAACTTTTCTTTATGCCTCACATCCTGTGTCCATGTTGAAGGCATTACCTGGAACGTCAATACCACAATTGCTCTGCAAACCTTTTGGTAAAACAATAGCTGACAATAATCTGCCAGCATGTGGGACAACTGATCAAACGCCTATTTTCCATTGAAAGCTGGTAAACGTTCAGGAGCCCTACAGAGCTGGTCCTTCCATCTTTAGCTTTTTCTACCCTACAGATTCTAACACTTTACAGCATTGACAGTTTTTGAGATAAGCACACATTGATCTTGGCTTCAGTGAAGGGTAGATTTAGTTTGACCCTGAGAAGTTTGGGGAAAATGCACCTTATAAATTTGTTTCCCCTCAAATTTATGTTGCTTATAGGATTTGAGGAGGAAGTTTGTGATAGGATGTTTGACAGTAGGAATTCTAATTGTCCTTTTGAGAATAAAAACAGTGGAGCTATGAGGTGAATCTGCCACTTGTTAAATAAATGGAGGATGTCGATTTGATTTCATGGTTGTATCAAAGTCAGGGCCAAGTTTTGAAAGAGAGCATCTTTCCAGATGATGATTATTGCCTAATAACATTTTTAGGCCATTTATAGCCATTCACCAGTGTATAGATAAAAAGAGCATATAACACTAATCAGTTTTAAAATACCTGAATGAATATGTTTGAACCTAGTGTTGGAATGGCTAGGGATGTCACTCTAATTCATATTCAAAAGAAAGCATTTCAAAGCTAAGGAGCCACTGCAGAGAAGTCTCTCTTCTGTTTCCAAAGCAAAGTTGTATGCAGAAAGTTGATTTTTAGTTCTTATAAAATTCTTTTTGTAACAGATGTTTCTTTTAGTATTTGACTTCTAGACCACATGAAATCCTTTGTTATCTATGTTTGTTATATAATACTTGCAAAAGCATCTATTACATGCTTTTTGTATTTAAGAACTTTTTCCTATCAGATGAATTTAAACCATTTTATGTAAGATGGGGAGACACACAAAAGACAAATTCATTTTATATCATTATTGCACTGAATGCTTTGGATTTAATCAGACTATAATTTGCCATGTAGATGACACTCTAAAAGGAACTTTATAACATTTTTATTTTGTTTGTTACATCCTCACAGGAGCAGCCTTAGAAGAAAATTTCAAGGAGTATGGTAAAAACCGAGAAGCGATGCGACTTTGTAGGGAAGGTGAGTTTGATGTAGACATATTTCCCACTTCATATGACAACCAGTGAAACATACATATATGCACAATCTTATGTGGGCCTGAATTTGCAACCCTACATTATTACAAACTTGCACTTCTAGAGATTATTGGAACCTTGTATTTGTCTGAAATAATTAACATATATTTATGTTAGTTATTGCAGACAAATAACATACATTTACATTTTTCAAAATTTCTAAACATTATTAACGTTATTTTATTTATGAGTTATTTAATGTAATTTTGTATTACATTAAATACATACTGTAACAACAAAAGCTAATAGAGTTGATAGAACTAACTGGTTTTGCCTTTTATATGCTAACTTGGAATTTTCATTGGTTTGCTCGTCTTATAATAGATTTGGCTCTATGTAATTCTTAAAAGGTCATGCCGAATGCTGAAGCTGCTTTTCACGGGACAGTTGGTTGTTTGCCTAGCTATGTGGTATGCAAGGAACAGATCAAAAAGTAGAGGAAGAAAAATTCTGCATTTTTGATTAAATGATATTTTTTTCCAGGATCTAGTTTGAAATGGATAGATCTGTTCGCTATAAAAATTGATAAGCGGAACACCACTGCAACAGCTGTCTTGTAGTATAGCTGTCTATGGGAAGTATTTAGAGGCATAGGTTTCATGTTTAATAGATATTTACAGCATTGCTTTCTAAGAACTCGTTTAGTTCATTTTTAAGCAACTTAAATTGACAATCTACCTCACATTTCAGTTACAGGTTCCACATTTAACTTTGGTATATGTACAAATGTTAGATGAATCAGTGCCCTAAGAATAAGGTTTAGATTTATTCTTAATGCATTGAGTCATCTTAATTCATAAAAAGTTAAGAGGGAGGAAATATTTATCAACTTCTGTAAGTCTCTTGTCATTTTCCCATTTATCTTTTTCAGCTTTAAAAAGCTCTTTGTGTTGCAGTCATTTACTCCATCCTCCTGATCAAAGTATTATTCCTTTTTATATATAAAAATCAAAATGATCAATAGGCTCCAAGTGTCATCATAACATAGCCTTATATAAAGGGATTGTGATGTTCTACTGGTTTCTGAGTCATGTAATTTTTGCAATATTTGTGAAGTTTTCATTAATCTATAAACTGATGTTTTCATGAAGATGCTTGAGCTATTCATTCATTTCTATCTTGGACCTTATCTCTGTATTTGCATTATATCCCACTTTGGTTTAGGAGCTTAAGATAAACATAGCGCTCTTCTTCCCATTTTCCCCAAACAGCCCTCTGAGGTAGATTGGGCTGAGAGTGACTGGCTGAAAATCCCAGAGAGTTTCAGTGGTTAAAGATAGACTTAAATCTGAATCTCTCCAGTGCCACTCACTTTCACCATTATATAGTCTTTTATTTGTTTATATTTTTTGGGCTGGTTGTATGTTGGAAGATACTTTCTTGCCAGGTTTAATAAATAGAATTGAGTAGCACTGCAATAGCTAAGTTATTTTTAATTTCTCTTACAATCTCATCTTATTTACATCAAAAAATGTTCTTGCAATGCTTTTGAATGGATCTTTTGCATGGTCAGTACTTCTTGAACCTTACATCCTTTCTACAATATTCTTGCCAGTTTAGCTTTTATGCAGCCATACAAAGTTTTTTCGCAGGGAATGTTTATTTTTTAAAATATGTTTATGATTACAAGAAATTATGAAATGAGATTAAAGGATATCTAGCTGCCCTGTAAATTTATGAAAATGTTGTCGGCCTTAACGCCTCTTGAAATGTCATCTAAAACTTTGTTCTATGCTAGAGAAAAGTGAAAAGTCATTACAAAAAAAGATAGATGTGTGCTCTGCATAGTATCTCAGTAGATATATTTTCCCCTCTTAATTAAGGGCAGGTTGAGACTAGGTACATACACAGTGGAGATATGAGCCATATGTTCAATTGTATAGAATGTACATTACATACCCTTTTTAAAGCTGTATACATAACATTAGTTTATATTTTCAGCCTCTTCAAGGGATATAATTATAATTAGATGGTCTCTTGGTATTTTTGATCTGTAACAGTACACTTGTTGCCCTCTTGATATTTGATATTTCTTCTTCATCTTCTGAAAAGCTAAGATGCAAAATAGATCATGGACAAGCCTATTAGCTATCACATGGTTGCCTTATTACCAATTTTGCAATTTGTTACATACTAAAATATTTACACTCTACATTATGTAGAATAGTTCAATATAACTATTTTGCTATCATCTGGGCTAAGAGAAAAAGCATTTAAATCCTCCCAACTAAAAAGTTCTCTGCAAAGCAGTAGTTGTAGCCTCCTTACCCTTCACTGTTTTGTGTCTGAAACATGCTGTTCGGTACTTACAGTATTTAAAGTAAAGGGGTTTTCTTTGCAAATCATATATTTTATCTGTACAAAGTATTCTAGTTATCACAAATACTACTTTTGCTGTCATTTCACAAATGAGTCTGGGGGAGATGTAGTTCAGCAGAATGGGATAGAATCAGGATTGTTTGAGAAGTAAGATTAAACTGGCTTTTCAGACAGACAGAATATCAAGCAATGATTTCCATTTAATTACATTGTTCCTTTTCAGTTTGACAAGTTAACAGCAAACAAAATTACTACTTCCTGCTCATTGGACCTGTAAGTGAGGGTTGATTCTGAAGGTTCATATACAAGAATTCCATAGAAATGTGTGTCTTGCATTCAGTAAAATATTGGAAATGCAGCCGTGTCTGCGAATGCTTAGAGCTGCAAAAGAGAGACATCAAAATATGTTTTGAACATAAATATGAGCTTCATTGTACAAGAGTAACAATTTAATCTGAAGTTGACCAGCCGGATACATTTTCAAGCCCATGCTCCTTGTCATAGTTCTTAATAACTACCTTGGATTTCTTTAATTTCTAAATAAGTTAAGATACCCTCTATTATGGTTCTAAGGTCTTTTTCATCTTGTCCTCTCCAAATGTATTAGACAACTATCGTAATGCCTATTTAGTTACCCATTGAGGATAGCTGCTGTATAAAGACAAGTGGCAATTATGTAAACACAAAACAGTTGTTAGGCCATATCAAATCAAATCTTTATTATAGTCATAGACCAACATGAGGGTGGTAAGTAACTAAAAAGAAGCATGAAGAGCCTAAAAAATATAGATCATGAATGAAACTAAAAAAATAATATATACATACATACACACACATACATGTGTACAAAAATGTTATACACACATATACATACATGCATACAGAAAATTAATACACAAATTTAATATACACACATATAACACACACACACATTAAAAGTATATACAAAAATGAATATCTAAAAGAAGGGATAGGAACATTAAATGGATGTAGGGGAGCATAAAAAAACTGCAGTTTTTATGAAAGACTATCAAGTTACAAAGCACGAATCTAATTTATAAAGTTGAGACTCGGGTACAGACCATCATTGGACAAATTTTGAGCACCGCTGCACAGAACCTGGCAACACTATATGTTGTGGTAGAGCTGGTATCTGAAATCAACAGGGCTACATAAAATTGTTTTGTGCACCTTGGATATTTATGTATGGATATTCGTAGTGAGATGTGGTGTACAAACATCTCTGTAGTGCAGAAACTGGAGAAATACATGCTCTGTAGTTTTCTGTGTGTCCATGTTGTGGCCCGTCAGCGGCCTGTGCAGCTAGTAGCTGATTCCGACAGCGAGGAGGCTGGTGTGCGCCAGCAGCCTGTGCAGCTGGCACTCGAGTCAGACAATGAGGAGACTGGAGAAGATGTGGTGCCAGAGGCAGGGATTCAGCCAGGGCCTTCAGAACCTCCAGAAGCTCCCTTAAGTGAAGAGGATGAAGCGGAGGAGCCTCTTCTCGATGCACTGATGTGCAGAGCTGCCAAAAGGCAGGAGTGGCTCCTCAGGAGGAGATTTCCTCGAGAGTAAGGCTTGGGGCTAATTGGCCACTCCCTTAGCCTATTTAAGGAGGAACACCGACTGAATCAATTTGCAGGGAACAACTTCGTTCACATACCTTTGTGTCTTGTCTTGTTTATCTTATCAGCTTCCTGCAAATTGCTTCTGGGCATTCTGCCAACCACCGTAAGCTTTCAGTATTATTCTTTGAATTCTTGGCGGCTGTTAATGTAGTTAATTAACAGCCGTTGTTGTAAAAAAACTGGTTTATTTAGTAAACTAAGGTTTGAACGGACTTCGTGTGTGCTGCGTTCTTTGGGGTCCATAGCTGGGGCAGAACAGTCCAGAGTCACAAAGGTGTCGTCTTTCTGAGTAAGGAACTTTCCTGTATTGCCCTTCAAAGAGAGCTGTGGGGAGGACATGACACCATGCGGAGTAAAGGGCCTTCTGTGTTTTGGTACTTTGAGTTTAGTTAAGTATGCCGTAATTTTCCAGATGATAACAGTTGAAAAAAATGTTTATTTGGGCTTATTATTTGTGTGTTACAGAACTAAAAAAAAATATTTCTGAACAAGATGTAATCTCATTCTTTCAGAATTATTTAATTTTGTCAATGCTCTGATTTCGATTCTGTAGTTTTTTTAATCTACTGAAGGAAATGGCCATTAGCAGTTAATGCTGTGTATGTCAAAGCAGCATCTCTTCTCTCTCCCATTAGAAGAAACATGTGTATCATTTACAAACCAAGTAGTAATAGATGATTGGTAGCATTTTTTGCTCTAAACAACAAGATTCTGAATGACTTTTTTTAAAAAAAACATAATGGGGTGATTTTGATTTTTATTCTGTGCTTTTCATATATCTTAGCATTTCTAACTCCAAAAAGTTGCTATACTTTTAATTTATTATTAAAACTTTTATGCTGCTCATCTCGTTGAAGCGATTCTAGACCGCTTACAGTCATATAAAAATCATATTTAGCAGGATGCTGCATTGTATGTGATATTCCAGCTGTTGGCTATTATGTTTCCCTCTTTAGCAAAAAACCACTAGTAATATATTTTAAAAAAAACAAAAACC